CTAATACCGTATACTTACGCCACTAAATCACTGTCATCAATGAACTGGTACCAAAATGTCAATTGAGTCAATATGTCATAGGGTACATACACATACAAATACTAACGCGATCCCCAAGGATACGCATTTAGTTGAATACCGACAAAAACTAAAGCACAAGAATGTAAGGTGTGGTAAAGCACGGAAATATGTGTACACACACACATACGCACACTAATACTTTTATAACCATTATAAATATAAGATTCATATAGATTTTTATAATTTATCAAAAAAGTCTTGAGCTTTTTGTTTCGGATATATAACTAATTTTGCAATATAAGCCAACCTCACCGTGCAAATTTATGCCGGGCGTCTTGCACGAATTGACTTCTATGTGAGCAAAAATTATTATAAGTTCTTTTACTGACGCGCCACATGCTTCATAAATCTGACTCTAAAAATTCCTATCAGGGCTTACTAAAGCATAATAAGTTTGAGGTAAAAAATTCGAGAATAAACCGACAATATCTGGCAAATGGTGTGTTAGCGATGAGAAAAGCTGGGCTTTGAATTTCGGGAAGCTTTCCTTAACCATCATCTTACACTTAGGCTCTGCCCTGTGTTATCGATAAATGAAGCAAAGCAAATTAAAGTATCTGGTAACTCGGGAAAGTAGACTGAAATATATAGAATATATAGAGCCAATGGCTATAGAACAAAATGAGGGAAAGTTTTAATGCATCCGTCGTGTAATAATCCAGATATCGCCTCTTCGGGTTGTGGGCTGTACCTTTTAGGCATTCTAAGTTAGGCTTCATGCGAAATAGACTTATGGCATCATAAGCAAGCATTCTTTGATCAGAGCATCCGGAAGCCCAGAAAACCAAAATTGCAATAAAAGACAGTAAAGGCTATCAAACAAACGGGTATGCGTGAGTAAATGCATCGGTTCTAATAACAACAAATGTACTCCTAATTTTTTCATTTTTTCAATTTGGCAGGCTTAATACTTTTTAGATAATCAATAGATAGAATTACATAAGCATATGTAAATTTAAAAGGCGAAAAAAGAGAATTGCGTATATGATGATAATAAACCGGAGCCAAGCACAAGAGCAACAATCAATTTTGGTCGAATCTCTTATACCGTTCTTTGCTACTGGCTTAAGGCCGATTTCTCAAAATAATTTTATACACAAAATTTTATTACTATTGCACGTTATTTCTTAAATGTTTTCTGCTTAGTTAAGTTATTTTGCTGAGCACTACACAAGAGTTGACAGTTTGAAGACACCGCTTGACATTGTTCGTAACTAAGTCGTTAAGCACTAACATTACTTAAATATCGTACACATACACACAAGAGTTATAAGACGAGAGTAAAAAAGTTAGTAAGAGGATAAGCATTTCTCCGCTTGCATGCAGGTCCCTACGCGCCCCATGTACTTGTGAATGAGTGGGGTACACGTGAACGGTGATCGTTTATGTTTGCCGGTATCATATGGAAAGTCATGGAAAAAGGAGCATAGTCAGCTAACCCTATGTACATATGCTGTAGCTGGTGTTTGACACGTGCAATGTGAGTGTGTTGCTGGTTTGTTGACCAGTTTTGCTCGCTTGACATGGATGAAGACCGCTTGCTTATACGTATATGTATACACATATATACATGCATTGTGAAGCCATATTCTGCACACATTTATATAAACGTAAACCTGTTTACTAGGTTGGCTGCCAAATTGTAATTAATGCGAATGACTGGGTTGCAATGTCATGTAAAAAGCAGACATTTGCATGGCAGCATTTTCACAATCCAAGAACTTTCTTTTAACATCATACAACACTACATATATGCAAAATAAAAAAAAAAAAAAAAAAGGAGAAAAAAAGAAAAGAAAGAGAGGAACAAAACTTAATATATGCAGGTTTTTGGATCTATTTGCATCCAAGCCAAAATGGCACCAAAATGATCTACTTACGAATACAAGCAGACAAGCATACATATACGTATATATAGATGTATGCATGTATATATAAAAATGAAAACGTATACGTTTATATAACTGCCTCAACGAAAAGGTTTAAATGGAATTCATTCATTACCTTCTTTATTTATCTTCTTACCGAGCAGAGTATACCTGTGTATGTCGCTGACATTTATACACGTATTATTTTTATTCTGGAGAGACCTATTCATAGCAAAAAATTAAAAAAAAAAACAAAAAACAAAAAGGTAAAGGAGAAAACTTATTTCAGGTAAAAAACTCTGCATTTACCATAGAGTCTTTGTGACTCTGTAATCTCATGTACTTTTGCATTTTGTTTTTGCTCATACTGATGTTCGTTTTTATACATTTGACATTTCCGTTCGATTTATTTGCATTCACTTGGACAAGTACTCCCTTATTTCTGAATAGTACAGATTCTCCATCAAAAAATACAAAACGGAAATCAACACACAACCATTTCCCAATATTATTTGTTCATATTTAACTTTGTAAATTTGTAAAAACTTCAACGCACTTCATCGACAAATGACTCTTTGGCCGAATGTACGCGTTTTGGGATACTATGTCAGTATGTTTTAGAACCTTTTTGATTCACTAATGGATTCTAAATGTCTAAGCACAAAAATGCAGTTGCATATCTTAATCATAACTATAACAGTAGACGGAAAGACTCGACTATAAGATATTATAGGAAAGTTTTAGTCACCTTGGGACAAATCTACAATACTAGGTATGTATATATGAAAATGAAATTTTCTCATAACATCACGTGCAGAGGATGTACCATGTCTGAAGCTTACATATTTTTCCACAAAAATTTGAACATCTGGCAACGATAAGCAGTTTCAATACCAACGTGTGCCGCAAAGGCAAATTTACTTTTCTCCAGCCACCCAAATATTGAATGTTTGGCCAAATGAAAGTGGACAGTGAATGCGTCATTTGTTTCTTTGCATGTGTAAGAGAAACTCTTTTTTGCATCCCGTCACAACTAATGATGAGAAGTGGATTTATTTTGAGAATCAAAGGCGTACACAGCGACCGAATTATTTTGATAAGAAGAACATATTGCTCCGGAAATCCCAAATCTAATTTTAACTGATTTCCCCCGAAAATAAATTTTGAAGAGACGGGAAAACCAAATGCAAATTCATGGAGGGTCATGCGGCTTCCAGCCGACGAAAAAGATTAGCGGAAGACACATAAATTATGGTAACTTTCTTATATACGCAAAATATTTCAACAGAATGAACGAAAACAGACAAAAAAAAATATAATTTTCAGTACCTTATGATGAAAATCACATGTAACTGAATTTGGACAATTCAGGGCTGTTTTGTGGATCCTACCTTAATAAGGGTGTTCACGATAACTGATCCTTCGAAGAGCAGAGAAGTCTAAGTTTTAATATCTGGTGATAATACGAAATTCAAACAAAAATAAGATTTGGGGTAGACAACGTGGTGTGGGGTATTTAATGATCGGCTTCGCCTAAGTACAATGTTAATTAAAATCTATACAAGTTTTCTGTTTTTCTTTGTGGTTTTTTTAGGCTTTCGGCCATCCTGTATCTACTCTTATGTAACACACAGAAGGTCTTAAGTTAGATCTACTCATTATCAATTCAAACAGTCCATGCATTCTTGTATTCAATCTACAAGTCCAAATTTTTGAGATATTTCGGTAAATTTTGGTATACCAACGTACTTTCAACCAAGGACGAAGACTATTGAAAATCGTCCGGATCGGTTCACTTTTTCGACTCAGCATTAAGAAAAATTACAATTTTCAAAAGTTTTCCACCGAACCTGGCTGAGTAATAGTGTTTCGACATTTTAAATTGGTATGAAAAACTTGGTTGGGCTAAGGCAATTTTTTGAACGTTCTGTCATATAACCGTCCCTACGAAAACTGAATCAATTATAAATTGGCATAGATCTATTTTTTGGATAACAGCGCATCTAAACTATTATTTGCCAAAACGGCCTAATTGCTAATGTTTTGTGATGAAAATGTGTTCAGAATAGTAATTTGACATAAAAACTAGCCTGACCAAATTTCGATCGCATGGGTCTATTTCTTGCATCCCACTCGATATAACAGTTCTCATGAATAGTAATCCTTAGGAAAGGGTTTAACTTTTAATATTTTATGATGAAAATGTGTTCACAGTAATAATTTAGCAAAGAACTTAACGGTAGAGTATTTGGCTCACATATGTGTAGAGAATTTGCGCGAAAAGCAGGCACTTGTATGAAAACTAAGTCTAACTTGTAGTTTTTTGTGACTGAAGTTGAAAAATAACATTTTTAGGACGTAAATCAAGTTTGTTAAATTTTGATCACGCTCTGTGATGTTTTGATTAGCCTTCAATATGCAGGCTTTCACGAAAAGTACGCCATTACTCATAATTAATTATGTCATTTTTGGTATCTTATTACCAAAACGTGTGAATAACTGTACTAGACGAAGTGATGTATGGCAACCAATGGTAGGCCCTGCCTGACTATACCGTCGTTATTTGTTTTAAACTTAATTCGCGGAAATCATTTATGTCTATTTAGTTCATATTTCGCAGCTTTCGCAGATGTCCCAACTCACAATAAATAAAGCATTGATCTTTGTTTGCTATTTAGACAAAGAAGGACTTACGTTAAACAGAGCAAAGGAAAAAGTGGAAGTTTAGATTCATTTTCGTTGACCAGTTCCCCTAAGTTAATTAAAGGAAGTCATATAAAGATAATGACTATTTGAACTCTTTTTCTTATTCCTTGTCCTCACTTTACATTTAATTTTTTCTTGTTCTTTACGTGCCGCCCTATATTCCGTAGAGAAAAATCTTAACAATTTTGTTTTTTTTTTCATTGTACTCTTTACTAAATAAAAAAATATTTGAGTAATAGCGTGTTGGCTTTCTTGACTGTAACTGAAGTTCATTATTTTATTTTAATTTTGTACTTGATGTTTGTACGGTTTTCTATTCTTTTTGTCTTTTTGCTCTTTTTATAGACTGGCGCTGGCAAATCATCGGCTCGTATTGGCGATGGTCCAATTTTAACTTTGGAGAAAGTTGAACGTCAACAGGCTGGAATTTATCAATGTACTGCTGATAACGGTGTTGGTGATCCAGTTAGTGTTGATATACGTTTAGATGTTTTATGTAAGTTTTCTTTCAAGATTTTTTAATATATTTATTATGGGGGAAAACATTATTGTAACAAAAGTATAAATTTTATCTTTTTTTTTATGTATGTAATAAAATGTTTATTGATTTGAGTTCATTATTAATTTATAACCATGTTTACAACACTTATCTACAGAGAGTGATTAATAGGAATGGAAAGAGTGTAACTGTGGAGTGTAGGAGTGGTTTTCCAGGTTTTAGGTGATTTTACATTTCATTATTACAATGGGACATATTGAAAAGTCTCCGCGTTTTCGAACTTCTTTTTGTACCATGCTCTTATTAAATGGTTCCAAACCGTCATGTGGTTGATGTTGAGGGCCAGAGCGAACTGCATCTTTGACATCGAAATTTCCGGAACGGAATTGAAAAAACCACTCCTGGGTCCTTCGTTCACTCACAGCATTCTTACCAAATTATTCGGCATCTTTTTGCCTTTTTTATAATAAAAAACCATCACATAGCGTGTTTCGTCACATATTTCACCCATTTTCCAATCAAAATAAATTTTTGCACGAGCAAGAAATTAGAAAATTACCTTCCCGAGAAATATAAGCTGAAATGCCACCTTTTAAGCACATATTCCTTTGAGGCAAGGCGGTAAATGCTGCCCGATATATAGGCATCAACACAATCTATGAATAAGAAAAGAATGTTTAATTTCATATCCATGATGTAGGAAAGGGAAGCACATACTGTGCTACATTTTCAAAACTCATTTGGAAATTTTTCCTTTTTGGTAATATGTTGCCTATCAAAGATATTGGATTCCGTGGGAGCAAGCCAATTATTTGAAATTTCTTCCTTATATCGGTTCGTATTCTTCGGAACGCATGAAAGAGATTATTTACCAAAGTATTAAATACTTATTGTGAGGATCAAAATCCTCACTCATTTCATCTCCATAGCATAAACTTACGGTCTATTAATCTGTAAAATAGTGTTGAGTACTTTTCAATATAACCCCATAGAAGCTAGGATGAAGACCGGTAGGGCTTGGAACGTGCAAGGCACTTCCACCGCTCGTCTTCTCTTGGATATCGTTAAATATTACAGCCCTATGCCGAATGCCTATGCACTATCTGCTGTTGTTGCTTTCATTCCGGTTGAGAGCGTAAGAAACAACAGCACCAATCATCCTAATGCCAGACAGCTAGAACCACGAATATAAATATTTTTTTTACAAATTTTATCAAAATGAATATATAAACCAGCAATTAACCTCATTTTTATACCCACCCACCACTGTAAGATGAGCATATACTCACTTCTTTTTTTTCCAAAATATAAGTAACACCTAAAGGGAAACTTCAGAGCCCCTATAAAGGGTATATATTCGCGATCAGCGTAAAATCCTGAGCTGATTTAGCCACGCCCTTCCGCGTGAGTGCCTGCACGGTGTGTGTTGCTGGCACTCACATGGTTGCAAAAATTTGGTAGAAACATTGGAAATTCCTGCACGCAAGTTTTTATTGAAAATGGGCCAAATCGGTCAGAGCGGAAGCGCGCAGTGGAGCCTAAGGTGAACACAACTCCGTTTATTTAAACAAAAAAATTGTGGATTTTTACTCGTTACTCGAACATGAGAAAAGTTAGAGTGATGAAATTTTCCACATTAACTCTGCGCCGCACTATACTGCTTACGTGAAAAAATGTAAAACATCCGCCATACTCACACAAATGATTAAATTTAGTTTTTTAAGCTTCTATGCTTATTTATCATAAAGCAAACAAGACCGAATGTGTAAAACTATTTTGTACCCTCTTCAAATGAAGATATATTCTGTGCCTAAAAATGAGTTGGGCACCGCGACAACTTCTTTCTTGATAATGCAAGGGATACGGGTATCAAATAAAAGAACTTGGAGAGTAGAATGTGAAAAATATAATGGTCGTTATGCGCGATGCGCCCACCACCGAATATGAATGTCTTATTTGTTTTTTTTCTGAAATGGACTTAAACTACTTTTAAAGTAAGCGGCACATATCACATATGAGAACGTCTTCCTTATTAGCATGTACACCTGATATAAGTACGTAAAGTTATTTAACGTATTTACGAAGTAACTAAAGACTGAAATCCACTTACACAAGAGTTTAAACAAAAAGGAAAGGAAAAAAAAAAAAAATTATAATATGTAGGACGAACGAGAAGAGAAACAGGATGAGACAAAGTTTTTTCTCCTTTCATTTTTTAACTTTGTTTTTTGTTTATTTTATTTATTTATTTTTTTTTTTTTATTAAAAGGAACTATTTCTCGTATGTTCTTAGCGTCTTCGTGCATATATTTATTTACATTTATTTCTTTTTAACGTTACATGGGATTAAGGAATTTTAATTTAATGTAAATTGTTTTTGTTTTTCTTTTTGCGTTTTTCATCCCTTATCACATAATAATCTTGTAAAAGTAAACGAAACAAGAAAAAAAAAAAAAGCAATATTTACTTTTATTCTTATTTATTCTCAATGTTTGTATTACTCTGTTGATTTTTTCTTCTTCTTCTTATTACTGTTCTTATTGTTGTTATTTTCTACTTTTGTGCAAATAGATCCGCCTGATATACAAGTGGAAAAATCCTGGATACATTCTGGTGAAGGCTTCGAAGCCAAACTTGTTTGCATTGTTTACGCTGATCCTGTTGCAACGGTTTGTTAAAAAAAAAAAGAAAAAGAAGAAAAACAAAAATTTATTTTCAGTTTACTTTTTATACACAATTTCTTTATCTCCTTGCCAGCGCGAAATACTTTTTATTTTTATTTTTATTATTTTTTTTTTTTTTTTACCACAAAATACGTTAAGCTAGTAAAACATTTCCTTGAGTTGTTTTGCATACAATATATGGGTGTGAGCCCGAGATTTTCTTTTATAAGAACATTACTCTTTTCTATATTCTTTTCATATTTAATAAACATACATTTTTTTTTGTTCGCCCTTAATGACATTCTTTTATAACGTATGGTAGTTTTTTCCACCATGATTTTGTTTTGTGTTATTCTCGAAATTCTTGCATCGTAGGATAACAGTACACTGAGTTTTCCCCTAAGCTGATAACTCTTAAAGTATTATATCATTGGCGGTAAGTTAGACCGCCTTGTCCATCTGACTGTTCGCTCGCCGGTTCAATTGCAAATAATTAAGATAGAGATCTGAAACTACGCTATCAGTTTTGAATTTAAAGACAACACATGAGATTCAGAAGCTATCTTGATACGTAAAACTACATATATATGTATTAAATCATTTAATTAATTCGCAAGTAAAAATGCTTTAGTATGTCCGGGCCCACCGGACAAATAACTTACACCTACACCCATAAGAGTTCGCTTAAGCTGAGTATAGCCTTTTTTAGTTGCCTTCATTATTGCTGCTGGTACAAGTATCTTTCTTCACGTCACTTACGAACATCATCGCCGTCACTATCAGAACATAATTATTGGAATTTTTTTGCTTTTTTGTTTAGTTTAGCGCATTCCATTATTATACTCATTCACTTGCCTTCCACTTATTCAGGCGCAAAGACCAGTGAATGTTAAGTGGCATGCAAGGTAAAGAATCAAAAAAATTATGTTTGACTTTTTTTTTGCTATGTTTCTTTTTTTCTTCATTATTATGCTTATTATTATTATGTATATGTATGTATTAAAGAAAGTACAAAAAAAAAAAAAAAAAAAAAAACAGAAATGCAGTCGTCCCTCGTCGTTATGGTGTAAATGATATGTTCATGCAAAATAGGTCAAGCATGCTAGCAGTTTAAATGTGTGTACTCATGTTTATTGTTTTTGTGTATTTTTACAGTGTAGTTTGTTAGCAATTTACATTATTATTAAACATTTTAATGATACTTTAGTTAATTGCTTATGATATTATTTGAAAATGATTTTTAATTAAAATAAGTAAGAAAATTAAGTTTACCTAAAAGCGAATCCTGAGTACACCGCATCGAGTTAAGTTTATAAAAAACCTGAGCTCTACCATTCATTTCAGGCAATCAAGCACCAATTGCACGGCTTTTTGTGCAACGAAGCGACTACAGGATGATTCAAGGCTCCACTTACTTGTCAAGGCTGCTTGCAAGGTTGTTTGGTCGGTTTAGGTCAGATCTCGTCTACGTCTATATGCAACGCCAGAGACACGACCAGGGACAAAAATAGGTTTAATTGTCTACGAAAATTCTTTTCTCTCCTATACACATTTCTAGATGTTACAAAAGAAGTTAGGAAATTAGTTTATCATCCTTTCGCGTAGTCACAGATGATAGGCATAAAAATATGTTTATATTTACCATGTATCGTATGTAAGAGTGCTATTAAGCCTTTCACAAATGCAATAAAGCCTTTTTATCCATAAAATAATAACAAATACATATGTAGGCTCAGCAGCTTTTCTTATCAAGTTTGTCCATATATATAATTTTTTTTTCTTTTTGGTGCCTTAAGGGAGAAAAGTTTTCAAAATCCAAGTTAGAGACTCTAGTTCGCTGAGAACCTTTCTAAAATTTAACTCTATGATATGATCGCTGCGGATTTCTTCTTCTACGATAGCCATTTAGGCTGTCTCTGAAATGATGATTCTTCCTTTGTATTCTTTTATGGTTATAAGGTAATGCGGCAAACAAGCAAACCAAATTTGAGCTCAGTAATTCTTTCAATCTACGAGTGAAATGCTAAGAGGAAAGGAGACACTCTTCCAGCACCGCTGGGAGAGGCGCCAAAAAATCAAATCTTTGACATTCTCAGTAAAGTTGTTTCTCAAGACTTGGAACAGGCGATGGATAGAGATGCAAAAAAAAAAGTAGTCACCCTTGCTTTGTCTACAACTCGTTAAGCAAGTTGGCAATTTCTGGATATTTACGTCTTCAGCCTGCATGGATTTGAGAGTTTCAGATGGCGTCGCCTACATTGATTGCGAAAATGTGGATACACTGCATTTGGAAGATTTATTTGAAGTTCCTGGCAATTACGTTCGCTTACCTTCCAAGGCTGTACGGCATTGTTGTATGATTATACACAGAATACCCAAAATCGTATATTCGTATGTTTATCTTAAGTATAAACGGGAAGATCTTATTACTGAAAATGGTGCTTATGTGGTTGAGTTGATAGACGAGAGCGTGAAGCAAAATATTAGTAGGGCTGTTAAAAACTTGGCTAGATTTGCCTTAAAAAGTAGTTGAAACATGTATTATTACCAAGTGATGGCACTTCACGCTGCAAAAATACAAACGTATCAGCGAATTTTTACAAAAGTATGACAATAACGTATCAACTATACGTTACCTACCACCACGTACCTACGCTTACGTTCATGTAACTTGTTTCAATAATGAGTATCGCCATAAGCTTGGCCGCATGTTTGATTGTTTTTGCTATGGCATGTAAGATATAATCAGCATTTACTGATTGCTTGTCGCAAATGCTTCAACAAGATTATGATTTCTTGATCAAAGTCATTTTAAACGAGAAGGCCGACGTTCGTGTGGACGAGTATGTAAAAAAACAAAAGCTTCGCAACTGGAGCTCCAAAAATTCGAAAGAAAGCAAAGCGAGAGAGAAGTAGTAATCAGGCCATACTTTTAAAATTGCTTGTTAGAAATTGACAGTGAACCGATTACGCCTTTTTTGACCTAAACTTTATAGCGACTGCGTCACCTGCCACTGAACACATCGCATAAAACGATGGCTCTATTCGACGATTGATTTGAATTGACGACCCTTGTTAAAAATGCATCCAGGAATTAGGGCAAGGGCGTAATTTAACGCAAGAAAACAGTTTTTTACTTATTCTATCAAAACAAATATAAAAAATTGTCTTCCCGTCAAAGCGATTCGGCCTTGCGACCAGCTTGGATGATACGTCTAGATCAGCTCATGAATTTTTGCACTTGAACTTCTCAAAATGAATTCACTTTCCATTTCCACTAGCGATATGATGCAATAACGACTTTATTTTGCTTTTTATCTTTGTTGTTTGTGACATGAAATTCCACATTTTCGTTATTAACAAAAATTTTTCCATTACGACTGATTATTGTTGCCAAATATCCAAGCTGTAAAAAAACTTCAGCCATGCATGTATTCCTTCTATCCCTTTGCAGTTTGCCATCGGTTTTCCAAATATGCATTTAATAGTTCCACACCTGATATGGATATGCAAAAGATTGGTTTGAGTGTCGCTATTCGCCACGAATTGCAAACTAATTGCTATAAGGTACACAACTCTTTGAACTGAATGAACTAAATCATCGCAGCCTTTCAATATATGATTTGAAGAAGACATAGCACACAAAGTCGGCGAAGTCATTGATATTGAAGTCTCTGAAAAAGAAATCGCATATGTTAGGCAATTCATTAAACTTCCTATGACATGAGCATGTGCTTTTCAGTCTCAATTACTTTGGTGAATTAAAAAAAGAGAAACCAAAAAAATTCAAAGCTCTGTCGCGGGGGTCCCATCGCATCCATATGCATACAGAAAAAAAAAGCTGTCAAGCGGTCGCACCTATACTGAGAAGTACTTATATAAGTGAAAGAAAATCGAAACAACTGTAGTATCCAGTCGCAATTTAAACAAATAAAAACATTATAGTGTGCTAGGGCCCACTAGTATATACCATACGCGACCTTACAATTATACATTTAGCGGCTTTTTAGCGAGAACTTATGAAAAGTTGTTCAATCATAAAAAAGTTGTTCATATCATAAAATTGCGGACTCTAATTTAAACAGACGGACGTACAGACAAGCAGTGTACGATATAAGCAAAAAACATAAATAAATAACAATTAACCGAAACACTATTAAATAACTAGAAAAAGTTTTTATTTACATGCAAGTATGAACTTTTTTTTACGTACGTGATATATAACGTTTATGATACACGTATCTATGAATGAAAAATTAATTAAAAGTTAACTTTATAAATACTAAATACAATGCAATGCAATTAAAAATTACACTGGGTATACCAATGTGAACTGATATAATCTATCGTTGAGATGACATATTTCCAATGGGACGATGTATTTATTACAAAAAGAATAGAAGGGATTATTGAATTGATCTCTTTATACATTCATACTTTTTTTTCTGCCAAACTTTCTTAAGGATAAAAATTTCGATTAAAAACGACAAAGCATCTGACATTTCCGCGTAATTCTCTTAACATGTTTTCGAAAATAGTAAAATTTTATGTCTTATCACTGTATTTGAAAGAAACAAAAAAAAAACATGGCGAATAATCAAATGGGAAAAAAGGATTTTATTTAAAATAAAAAAAAAAATAAATAAAATATCAGCTCATTTTGGATCATCCCTTGTAAATAGTCAAACTATTAAATCATCATACGTTTCTTCTTTTTTACAAATTTTTTTCTGCACTTCACCAGGTTGCATACAACCAACAATATATCAACTTTTTTGCATATGTACTGAATAATATTAGTTTTTTTGTTTTTGTTCTCTCCCTTTTTTTTCACAGGTGTCTTGGTATCAAAACTCATTTCTTATACAATCAACTGACAGACGTATTATGTCTTCAAGGGGAAATCGTCACACACTCACCATAAGACATATACAGCAAGAAGATTTCGGCAACTATAGGTAAGTCATACACGAAAATTCAAAAATGCTTCCTTCTTAAGAAGAAAAAAAAAAAAAAAAAAAGGAAGAAATAGAAATCAAAGAAGAATATCTTAAAAAGAAAAGTTTCATTAAAAAAAAGCAAAAAAAAGAAAAGAAAAGGAAACTCTCAAAAGTCAACAGAAGGCTGTTGACTTACGTAGCGTCTACTGACAGTGAACAAATTGACAAATTCCATCTGGAAGTAGTCTTAAGTTCGGTTTATTGCCAACATGTTATTTGTCAAATTATTGCCGTTACTAATGCCTCAGTTCATTTTTTGCTTGTTCTCCCCTTTCCCTTCCTTTTAGGTCATCGCTCGTTCAGCTTGTTTCAGCATTTCAACTTTCAACTATTTTTCTTTTTCTCCTTTTTTTTTTTTTAAATGAAAAAATGTGTTTCAAATTTGCTTCTTTTTTTTTCTCTAAAACAAGTTCTTTTTTTAAGCACTACTGCAAAAGGTTGAAATACAATTTTTTACGCACATGTTTATGGCAGTATGTGAATTTTCTCATGGGATTCGCGCCTTCTTATCCGACTTAATATTCCGAAAATGAGTTGTCTACGGGATCGTTAAGACCATAAAGACTGATAGATTTAATCGTCAAAGCTTGGAAGTGAAAAGAAAGGTGTCGTGCATATCCTCTCTAGTTAAAGATGGGAAAATCTTTGGTTTTCCTTTTATGTACAAACTATGGGCCGGCGTGTCTTACATTTTGATAAATGGACTTTTAAATTTATGCACTACTGCCTACTTTATCCCCCATAAAATTGTGATTTTTCATCTTATCTACACCTAACTCTCTTCTTACACGTTAGATGTGCTTTATTAGAAAATAGCATAAAAAAAACAAATCTTGTACAAAAACTCATGCGACATATAGTAAATTTGAGGATGTGTTCCACAACTTTAACAAAACCTATAAGATGGAAAAACTTTAAGTATTTTCCCGAATATATTTCCGTGCAAAAAAAGTAATAATGAAATCCTTATTACATATTGATAAAGTAAAAAACGATTAACTTCTATTACAAGAAAAGATAAAAATTAGTGCACAGTGAAAATTCAGTTCATAAGTATAGAATATGAAAATGTAAATTTAAAATTATGAATAAAAACTAATTTCGGAACGAATCGACCGCTGCCTAATAAAAACCCTGCACGTTTATTACGAACTGGACCAAAAATGCTGTCATCAGCCAGCATGTGTAGCACAACTGGTGGGTTTGATTCAAACAAAGAATTTCATCCGTTATTAACGGCCTCTGTTGGTTTCATTGTAATTGCAAAATCTGTTACTTAACCAGCTGCACATAAAACAACCAACTTTTAATCACGGTGTTATTTCAAAATTGGATGAAAAAGATCGTATAAACAAGATTTGATTCGATGATTTATTTAATTCTTCTTTATTGTAATATTTTTCCAGTTGGCTGTCTGCCTACCAGGATCTCTCATTACAGCTCCCTATCCTTAGGCTTCAGTCTAGATTGTTTAACTTATTTTAATGAGTTCTAGAGCTTTTGCCTTCTGTTTGATTCTAAGCCGCAGTACAGCCGAGTACACGCAATCTTTCCTACGTCACAAATCGTGAACGCAAGGACATTTTCGTTCCACTGTGAATGAGCACGTTTTCCATTCAAGGTCCACTTTTGCCTGTTCAAAGTGTAATGGATGAAGAAGTGGGTCAAAACCCACCAGCCAGCTATGTCTTGCAACAACTTGACTTTTCGCTTTCGATCTGTCGTGTCTGGCGTAATCATTTCTTCTGGGAATCTATCGAATTTGGTCACCTCATCGATATTCGTACGGCCTCGTTTAAAATTAGCGAAAACCGACAGACTAATCGTTGTTTTCAAGAGAGACGAGCTGTCGCATTATTTTTCAAACCTATGCATAGTTAGTTAGCGATATATTTCCTTATTAAAAACTAATATTGTTATTCAACACACGAAATGCGAATTGTTCCGTTACTGTGAAAATGGAAAAAAAGTAGTAGCGTAAGCAAACGATTAAAATGTTATGAAGTTTTCGCTGACTTCATTTATAGATTGTCGTGTAGAAATGGCATGGACTTTTTATTAGAGCTGATATCTGTGTGTTAGGTCCTTGGAAATATTGATCCATATGTTGATGCGCTTTGAAAGTACATTTTCAGAGACAATACTTAACACCTAATGACTTACTCATCGGCCAAATAAATTAATGTTTTACTAGTTAATTTAATGTCATAAGCACCTGCCAGTCTAGCAAGGAACTAAAAAGCAAATAAGCCTTCACATGCCTATCGTTTTGAATTTTTTTCTTTTTTTGTTTTCCTTTATAAAAGTCAATCTGTCGAAAGCATTTTAAAACTTCGGAAGTTGTCAACTGTTGTCTATTGATTTGATATTCGAAAAATACGATTTTTTCTTTCATTTCCTCTGCAACAATTCAAACTTGCATTCTATACAAGTATAAACGTATGCTCGACTATTATACTGAGAGATTAGTAGAGCTCGAACTCACATTCACGCTCGTACGCTACCGTTGGTGTTATTGCTGTTAGTTTCTTTTCTTTTTTGTTTTGGATTTATTCCCAAATACAGAGTCTCGTTTTTTTAGGTTTTTTCTTATTTCCAAGTTTGTCTCATCAAATTGTTTTTCCGCTTGCATAAACCATATCAGTATATGTTTCGACCTTTTTATTTGTTTAGAGAGTGCCTGAAATTGAAAGGAAATTACATTTTTTATTTATAAAAAAAGTTTTCCTCCTATTCTGCTAATGAACCCTAAGCAAAACAAAAGGAACATAACAGGAAAAACAAAAATTGAATGGACAAATTTTATTATACCGATTTCTTTGAAGTCAGAAATACACAAGTCAATGATCTTTCTGCCGCATGATGCACTGTGAACTGTTTCAGTTTTTGTCAGCTTACATCGCTTTCGTTTTATTATTATGGTTAATTTGGCCAGAGAAATAAATTCCAAGACTGGCACTAGCATCTAAGTCTATCGACATTATTGAAAACTTTAGCGCGCTTAGGATGCGAACCCACAGCCATTGCAGTTGTTACCGGGGATCCAGGCAGATCGCTTTCATTTTAAAGCGCAATTGTTCCTGAAAGTAGAACAAGTAAAGTAGAACAAGACGCTGGCTAATGAAGGAAAAAATCACGATATTGCATGCAGACTAGTTGCTGGCGCATCATCAGCTACTGCTAAAAATTCGAATAATTAGTGCAAATGACAAGAAATGCCGTATTGTCTAGTGGTTAGGGCGTGCGACACATAATCGGAAAATCCGGATTCAATTGCTGATGTGATAGAACCCAAAGATAATACCTTGTTAAATAACTAACATTAATGTCAAGTAAAAGTACTTTTCTGTTCCATTGTTCCGCTTGTAGGAGGTTTATAAAGCAGCGCCGCTTTAAATATATTGAAACAGAGCCAAGCCCACCATCAAATACCGGACGGAACCCCTATCCTGTTTAAATTGATCTAACGAGTATGCAAAATAAGGCTATGGGAAGTGGTTTGATCCCAACCATTCTCAATAGTGTTCGGGCTGGGGCGAAAACAGGCCAGTGTAACAAATTTCATCAGAATATCCCAAAAAGTGCGAACTGCAAGTTGAGCACAAGCATACAAAACAGACAGTGAACGTGATTCTCTATAAAAAAAAGTTAGTCGTTCTAGGTGACGCATACACCCGCAGAAACTTAATATACTCTTGTACCGCAAGGGATGTAGGGTGTAAAAGACTTCTGTCCACCAAATTTTGACAAAATATCCCAAAAATTGCGGCCTGTAGGTTGGACATAAGAGTGCGAAACAGACGGACGGAGAGATTGGCTTAGGAAGCCACTCTGAAGCGATCGGTATAATAAAACATGGGTTTATCTCAAGTTCTTCTAGATGTTGTATAATAATAATAATCTCGTACATGAGACCTTGTCTAGTAGATTAACTAAAGTCTCATGATCTTAAAAAGCTAAATTTCAAAGAGACAATATCATACTTTCAATGTTTACGGTACATAGAAGCATTCATCCAAGAACCCTGCTCTCTCGCTTATCTTTGATCTGAGTCAATAGCACAGGATCTTCTTAAGTTATGGAGGAAAATTTTGACAATAAGAAAATGTTAAAGGGCGACAATGAGTTGCATGTCCTCATGAGAGCAAAAATATTCTGCTGCAGAAGAAGAATTTGTCACTCTATAGTCGGTATTTTATTGAAAGATTTAAACGAGCTGAACAAGTGCAGCGCCTTCCTAATAAGTTTTGTCACTTCTTAGCTAGCTTAGTTTTGCCTACTAGGAAAAATGGGTCACATCCTCTTCACCTCTTCATTCTCCTTATGACCAGATCTGTGCAATTTGTATCTTGTTGTTAAGTCATTTTAAAAATATTTCATAATACTTTGGAATAAATTTAAAAGCTCTCGGCATAACGTGTCATAAAAAAGGACATTTTATTTCATTACATACATAAATATTCATTTTGTTGATAAAAAAAAAAAAAAAAAAAAAAAAAAAAAAAACAAATAAAATCAATTCATCGTTGCAGTTGTGTGGCCGATAACTCATTGGGTCGTTCACGTAAATATATGGAGCTTTCTGGACGTCCCGGTCCTGCTGAATTTTATTCACCCAAATGGGGTCGTCTATCCGACAGTTATAACCTTACATGGAAAATTGATAGCTATCCACCTCTAGAGGAAGTACGCCTACTCTATCGACGTGTTCTGGTGAGTGTTTACTTAGGTTGTGACTTTTTTTTCTTTTCTTTTTTTTATTTCAATCGCCTTTTTCCTTTTGTTAGTTTGTTTTTTTTTTTTTTTGTGTGTGTGTGTGTATTATTAAAAAGTAATCATGGATTTTATGTTTTGGGCAGCTGAAGTAATAGTAAAATGGCCATATTTTTAATTTTCGATAAAAACTATTAACAAAAACTTCTCTCAATTTCACTGCATACACGAAAACAAAAATATAATAATAATTGCTTTATTCCGTAAATTTAAAAATATGAATATCGATTTTTCTTATATTGCAGTTGAAAAATTTATTTTGTTTAAAGTTTTTATTTCATTTTTTCTCTCTTCTCTTCTCTTTTTTTTGTTTTTTTTTAAATGTTTTTAATTCAATGTTTTAATTTCAGTTTTTTATTTGCTGCAGTAGTTCACCCATAAAGCAATTTATGGTTAAAAAGTTTTCAAAAAATATTTTAACTTTTAAAAATAATTGCATGTTGCGTTGAAAACTATTTATATTATTATTACTATTATTATTATTATTATTATTATTATTTCATGGAAAGATAAATGAAAGAGCGTTAAAGCAGCATTTATTTAAGCCAATATAAGATTGCTCGAGTTACATAAGCTAAGTTTTTAATTCACTAATAAAAGTCGAAAGCCGGCGCGCATAATTTCGAAAGTTTTTTTTAAAGTAAATCCTTTACGAGTTTGCAGCTCTTTTTCTTTTTTATTAACCATCGAATTTTTTATAAACCATTTTACAGTTGCTTTTTTGCAATCAAAATATGAAAAAAAAAATGTAGAATTCTAATACCGCTTAGAACATACTTAGATGTGATGATGTCATCACAGAATTCGTTTTACAAAAACTCTATATATTGATCCTTAGATGTAAGCGTGTAAAATTTTATATCCTACCCTACCGTGTAGTACACGGTATATTAAGTTTGCACGAACGTATGTGACACGCAGAAGGCCGTAAGATAAACTGACCTTTTATTATACCGCTCGGTTCAGAATCATTATCTGAATCGATTTAAGCTCGTCTGTCGGTATGGCTCTCTGTATATGTATTTTTATGTTCAATCCAAAGGTCGCAACTTTTTACATATTTTGATAAAATTTGGTGCACCGTCGTACTTTTGTTCGGGCCGTTTCACTTTTTTGACAAAAATTTCTAAATTTCAATACTTCATTACCTTAAAAACCTTACCTGAACTGTGAAGTTAGTACAATAGAGAAAAATCTTAGCAAGTAGCATTCTCAAGATCTGTTATTTTTCATACTGAATGATCTTTTAAACTGTGCTTTTATTTATACCGAAAGTAAATGTAACAAAAGTATACCCACGTATAATGGCCTTTGAATGTTGTGCTACGATAAAGCGGCCGAAACCGCCACCTTATGTCAGCAGGGTTTGTGTAAATTTAACAAAGTCCATTATATTTACCAAAACTAATTACAGTCCCAACGTAGTTATTATGGTTTACGATCAGAACATAGACATTGTTTTTTTACAAAAAAAAAAGCTCCGCGGAAAGCAGAAATTGGTACGTCCTCTTCTCAACATCCCGTAAAGCACAACTTTACCTCTTACGTCTAAAGAAAGGACGATATGTGTTTAGTGTATTGCATGGCCACAGCACATCCTCTTAATAAATATCGTCATCTCAAAAATATTATCTGCATTTGCGTCTGGATTTATATATAGATCTGTATATAAGGATATACCTATACATGCATATATATATATATATGACAAACTATTCAGGGTATTTACTTACTTATTGATTTACTTATACATGAAAGTCAGCTAATATAAATTAACAGACAGAACTAAATCCTATATTAGTTACTGTTAAAAATCATTACAATAAAATTTATATAAGAAATAAAGAACAACAAATCATGTATAAATAAATAACAAAGAAAAAAAGCAAGTACACTACTAGTGCCTATGCACACACACAAAGAGTACAGGTCCAAGTTGCAAGTGAACCTTTAAGCCATTGCAAGCATGCAAAAACTGGGCAATCGATACTGTCAACAACACCAGTTAATTTTCGAATCATGATAGGATATTAAGGTTAAAAGTTAGTTTAACAACGACATAGCAAATCGCCCGTATTAAGCTTAGTTGTTTTGATAGACTTTAAAGAGTCTAATATTCAGATTAAAGGATAGACATCATTTAGGTCTCTGCAAATTAGTCTGACCTGATTGAAGAGCTCGTAATTATATTTACATTGCCTAAGCTTAATGAAGATAAAGTTTCTAGAGAAGCTATTAGGGACATTAAAGGTTATCGCACCAAGTAATTAGGGCGAATCGATATTAGCATTTCTTAACTTAATTAAGAAGGAAACACCAAGATTAAATCTACGTTTCTCCAATGATGATGATAAGAATAGCAGAAGATACCTATTTTCATAAGGAGGGAGAGAGACAAGAGGCATGTCTTCTACATCACAGTAACGCGTTGATTGTGGGAAAGAAGTGGGAAGAGAGATAGGAAGAGGGTGCCGCCTGGAAGACGCGCGCCTGATCTGTAAGTGTTTCGCCTTCACCGCACAATTATTCACTACAACTACGACCATCCCTGAATCGTAGTTAAAGTATAATCTAACATACTGAGAATCGAACCCGAGTTCCGCGTTTTTAACTATTTTGCCATACTCGCGGTACTTATGCTAAGTGATACACTGAAAAACCTTGATTTTTGTGTTAGGGACCTGCAATCAGGAGAATTTCTGCCATTTTTTTCTTCAAAAACCATACGCTCTTGCGGCAGATACCGAACTGTTGACGCGACTGTTGAGATGACGCGTTGCTTTTTTGGCTTTTATTGAGATCAGAATTATCAGCAAGCTTTCGTGGCGAACTTGTCTACACTGCTAATTATATCAGGAAGACATGTTCCTCAAGAGGTTTAAATGGAGAAGCTCCTCTCATATTATAGTGGAGAAGGAAACCCAATGTCGACTACTTTCAGAGTTTTGGACAAATTGCCGAATGCCAAAGATTTGATTAACTCGCTCTATTGCTATTTTCTTTAGACCATTCTTGCACTTATTCCTGAAGATCTCTTACATGATATATTAGGTTGTTCGGAAGGCCATATCGTTTAATTGGAGCCAAGTTCACATTTAAGCGCCAAGTCAAGCCGATATCGTAATGCTTGTGTGGAAAAAAATTGTATTTGCTTCGGCCCAAATGCATTCATAGGGAAAGCCGAGAGCAGCATTTTTAAGCAAGAAAAAAATTAGCGGATGCCTATGGAGGCGTTGAATGGACAGAGCGCCAGTGCAAAAACTGGTTCGCAAAATTTCTCGTCTGCGCTTTTTCGTTACATTCTGGAAGGTCAGTAGGAGTTGATAGAGGCAAAAAAAACGCATTAATTAAAGCAAACCCTACCATGACAACTCGTGAGGTCATTAAGAGTTTAAATCTATTGCGGTCTAATGCTCTTAGCATTTATTTATACACTAAACCAAGAAATTGAATTTTGTTTGGGTCGAACGAAAACCAAATTTCTTGCAGAGTCTTGAATAACAGATGTCCTGGTTTTCCTATTTGGTCACTGGTAACTTCTTCAACCATATCGATGGGTTTCTAAATATTCTTCTCGTGAAAGTCACCAGGATTGCAAAGTACTAAGGTTGTTTTCACCGTTATACACCATTCGGAATTTTTTCCAACTATAGGCGTTAAGTATATTATCCATGTAGTTGTTTGAACAGTGACCAATTATTTTCAAAAGCGTTGCTATGTATAGTTTTTTATTAAATTCTATAGAATTCCATGGATGCTGAGAGATTTTTTTTTTTTAAATGAATGGTTTACTGAATTTTTATCTAAAGTTTTTGTGTGTTTGTGTATTTAAATCTACAGAAGCAATTTATTCGATTTTTGTTTTTTGTGTATTCAAATAGAATTTTTATCAGCATCTCTTTTTAAATGATGTTTTCATTATTGTTTGTTGTTTTCAAAAGAAGAGACATTGACGGGCTCGTTACAAACCCAATTATTATTATTTTTCTCTTATTTTTTTACTTACACTTTATTTATGAGAAGTATTATTATTGTGAATGTTTTATGTAAACATAAAACTTACATGAAACGTATTATTATTGTGAATACAGACACAATTACATAAAAGTATAAAGCTTAAATGACCGAATGTATCGTGTATGCGAATGAAAAGAGAACAGAACAGAATTTATTTTATTTAATTTATTTTTTTATTTTCTTAATGTTCTTTAGTACATTGCCGGCCATGTAACGATAACAGTTTTCAAATTTTTTTTTTATTTTTTTTTTCTCTTTTTTTGATGTGTTCATTTTCCATCTGTGGGTCTCTTTTTTTTTTCTTTTACTTCACTTTTCGATAAAATGTTTGGTTCAGCTTTCATACATTTCTGTTTGAATCATAATAACGATGTTTTTATTGTTATTATTATTATTGTTGTTGTTGTTATTGTTGTTGTTCTTATTGTTGTTCCCCTTTTATTACAAAAATTACCAGATGAATGACACATTCCAACAGCCAGGTAGATGGCATGATTTCATACTCACTCCCGAGCATCGTCCAGCTTCGGAACCGTTAACGCACATTATGTCATATACCATAAAAAATCTGGTGCCCGGAGCATATTATGAAGCCATTGTGCAAGCGAAAAACCGTTATGGCTGGAATGAGGTAAATTATAATAATGTTCCACAGTGCATTCATTCATGTTCAGGCGTATTATTGTATAAATAAGAAAAAGCATAAGAGAAGGGCAAAAAAAAAGCACGTAAGCGATAAAGGTGTTCATACTTTTTATTCAAAGTTTAAAGTGTTACCAAAACACTCTTCAAACTGATACCTTATTAGGTTTAACTCCAGCTACCTAGAGACGATGAGATTTTAAGAATAGTTCTCAAAAGGAATTTAAAATTAATTTTTTTTTTTCTAAATCTTTACGATTAAAATATGTTAACAGGGCCTTAAATGCAAGAAAAAAGACAGTAAAAATGTGACTACAAAGAGGTAGTAGTGAGCCTTGTATGCTGAACTTTATACCGTAAGACATACAAGATAAAATATAAATATGTTGGCATTTAAAAGAAGAGACAAAGATTTATATGCATTTACTTCAATACCAGGTTTAAAATAAATGAAAACACTCTGACTATTTATTCAAGTTTGAAACGAAACAAAAACGGAATCGACTCAAGCAACCTTTAAACAGACACATCCTTTTGTTTGTAGGTAACTACCTCCCTTACTATACTCATTCACACAAAAGTGTACAATTCAGATAGCTTATGCCGTAAACATACACAGATGTATGTCTGTCGCAAAGTCAGAGATTTTCATATAGAGATTTTTTTTTACGTTATACAATCTCTATGTATCATTTTTCTGTTTTTGTTTGTATGGTTGCTTGGAGAAGTTAAGCCTTAAATGCTCGACAACTGAGTTGGTTTTGCTTATGGTTTTACTTGTATATTTGTATTTCTCGTGTCCAGGTCAGCGATATATTTCAATTTATTGTTGCGAGCAATAGTATAGATATACCGCCCGAGGAATCCGAAGTTGTCGCAAGTTCCAAGTCGCGCCATAATGCCAGTCAAAGTCTCTACAGACGTAGCAGTCAGCATTTAATGCTGCGGACCGCATTTAACGCAGCACTATTTTCACTCGGTATGAATTATTTATGTCAACGCAGTCGTCAATTTGGTTTAGGTGGATAAGTCAACGCAAAAACACAACCATATCCATACGAAGCATAAGTTAAATAAAAAATAAAAAAAAAGCAAATATAAAAATGAAAAAGAAAAAAAAAACATAAACCTTGCAGTCTCTCATTGATATTAATTTAAAAAAAAAAAAAACCAAAGAAACGTAGATTTAAAAAAAAAAAAAACACAAACAAACAAAATTAAATGAATAAAACTACAGCGATATAAGGAGAGAGGGAAAGCGAAAAAGGGGGACAGAAAGAGAACGAGAGATAAATAATAGAAATTAAAAAAAAAAAAAAAACATTAATAGGTACGAATGTACATACATTTTGGATAAATAATTTAAGTATTCAAAATATTAGCGAAAAAAAAAAGAAAAAAAAAAAAAAAAGAGAAGAGAAGCAACTTTAATTTGAAAGTTTTAATCATAATTGTTTTTCTCTCCTTTTTGTAAAAACGCACCTAAAATATATTTTGAAAAATGCTGTTCCTTTAGTTTAGTACATTAAAGCTAATATTAATAAAACAAAGAGAATCACTAAGTTTCTATAAGAAATAATTTAAAAAACCTACCAACACCTACCACTGCATACACTGAAGACATATAAAATATGCCTTTGGCTTTGTTACAACCAAAACAAAAAAGGAAATTGAAACCCCTTAAACAAGAAAATATTGAGCCAATTAAGTCGTGTCCGTCTCTGCGTCCTTGTGTGTTTGTCTGCAGAACTTTTAAAATTGCAAAAAGTCATATAGCCATCTTCAGCTCAATATCAAGCTCATAGGCGACTGCACTTAGCTCATGAATGAGGCATCAAAAGCTAAGATACTGAAAATGTTCGGTAATTACTGAGTCTTTTATTATTAAGTATTTATAAAATCTTTGTAACGCCCATTGCAACAATCAGGACAACCCAGAAGAATCCATAAAAGGCATATATGCATGACATCAACGTAAATTCATTATATCCTATTCTTTCCTTTGGTCGTTGTTCTGTCACTTGATTCGATTCATGCTCGCAAAAGTCGAAATAGGAGACGACGACGAAAATGACGATTGATTTGAGAGTAAAACTCCCAAGAACCCGTCTATAATTCACAATCGCTTTTTGTATAACTATATAGTAATTATCTGCAAAGACAATGCAAAGCTTCGGTTCGAGAATGGATGTTATAAGCGTAGGGTAAATGTAGGAAAAAAGTTGGTTAAAAAATGATTTCGGTTGGCTAATTCCTATGCCTATAATTGCATGTGTTTAGATAGGCGAGGTGGTGGGTAGCAAACTGTCACCAGAGGGCGAGTGTAACTTCTTTACTACTTTTTGTTTTGCATTTTTCGCTTTAACGGGAAGCAAAATCCTCTAAACTCCTGAGGCACAGTAAATTTTGAAAAATAGATTTAATTTATTTCGTAATACAATTCTAAGAGACGGCACTTAATGACTTTATTTTGACACGTTGAACGCATTTTTTCTTTTCCACAAGATCGGCGGAAGATTTTGAGAGGATTGAGCCGCATTCGGCCATCTGCCTGTCCCTGTATGTATGCATGTTTATCCTTGATCTTTTAGTGAGAAAATCACCATGGTAAACCAAAACCTTACCCAGGTATATAAAGAGATTTTGATCAAGCTTCAAAAACAGGGCTTTTCAACACAATTTAACGTAAAGCATGTAATAAATCTCAAACTTACTGAAAACTTTTCTCTAAACCCATCTAAAAGCCAAGTGAGAGAATATTTCTGATCGTCGAAGGCTCGAAGTTTCTCTAAAATGGTTCAAAAATTTTTTCAAAAGTTTCATAAAATAGCAAAAAAAATAATTGGATGTGTCCTCATATAATGTGCACAACACAAAGAAGTGACTTTATATCGCCATATATACTGTCTTAGCCTACATGTCTTAAATGAATTGAAAATTCAAATTTCGCGCCGACTTATGGGAAAATTCAAAACACATTAGTTGCACAACTTGCGAATAGCTTAAGCAATTCAATATTTTCGGTTTCAAAATCTTCGGTCGAAATCGGATGCAGTCTTTCTTCGCCAAAAACATGATTGCTAATGAAGCTATCTAGTGCATAAATAGCTCCTTGATTTTTTTATATTGAAATATATTTCCGCAGATTTTTGATTTGTACAAGCGATGAGTTGCTGTAAGATATTTTTCCGAATATGTTTATGATAAAACAAGATAAGACAAGGCTTTGTAAAACCTAACAAGGGTGTAGCGGCTTGGAATAATGTTTTAAAAATTTTTAAGATTAAATAAATAACGGGATACTCGTAACTTGACAGAATTTCCATGGCTGCGCTCTTTCTTTAAAAAATTGAATCAGAATAAAGGGCGCCATCCCATTACTCTATGCGTGACGCCTTAGTCCTTGGCTTTTTCAAACATGATTTTTCCCGGACAACCAATTTTCTCATTAGGATTGAGAGAAAGCCAAAGAACATGTTGCAAAGGTATTTGCCATTTGTTATTACGATCTGATTGCGATCTTTACAAAGGCAACGCTACCTAAGTAAGGCCCTTGCTTGTAAAGCGAAGTAAGCTATGCTTTCCTTTAAGTATGGATGGACTGCGAGGAAAGGCTTCGTTACATTAGATCGATCAAAGGTTACAATTTTAACGGCACATGCGGCGAAGCATGCGACATTTTGCGGTTATTCGGGGCAAACTATTCTGCACCATAGAATTAAAAACTGATCCCTAAGATGAGAATGATATCATGATTTCAAATTAAATAAGGATCTTTTCTAAACACAAAACCCAAAAAAATGTTGCTAAAAGCCAGAACATACTCTAGGAAAGAATTTATGGAATGCATAACGTTGAAAGATGAAGCTTCTCCGAAGGAATCTTAAAAAACATAATCTCAAAAGCTAGCGCCTCGCTGAGAAAACAATTCTCAAAAGACATAACCGCCGCAGATGAAGCCTCTCTAAAAAGACATATTTCAAATGGCATAACCTCTAAACATAAAGCCTCCCTAGAAATCTTGAAAGATAAAACCTTCAAAGAGAAAAGAAATCTCAAAAGACAACGCCTCTGCGAGAAAACAAATCTCAAAAGGCATAACCTCATCTTAAAAAAGGCAACAAAAGAAAAAGCAGAAAAATAATATGGTCTTCTGTGCTAAGAAATTAAGACATGAAATAATTATTTTGGGGGGGGGGGGGGTTTAACCTTTAATCACAACAAAAAACAATTAAAAAGCCTCTTCTTCTTTTTGCGTTTACCTTGAAAGTTAGCCGCTTTGTTCTTAAGTTAACTTCCGAAGAAAGTTTTTGATATGCAGTCATAGAGACAAAAAAAAAGTTCACTTTCATTTAACGAATAAAAACGAACTAAGACATTTCATTATTAGCATTAGCATTAGCTTACAAGTAGATAAGTAATATTTCTGTAAATACAACGGAACGACCGAAATATAGACAAAAAATGTATTATTGCTGTAAATCCACATAGAAACGGAACGAAATAATAATTAATTAATAGAATTTTAGTAAATGTTAAGCGCACCAAATATAATAAAAGTTAAGCAAGAGAAAATCATTTTTCCCTCCCTCCCACCATCCCTCTCCCCGACTCCTTCCCATAAAAATCCATAGATTGATTGAATTCGATTTCCAGGTAAAACAAGAAAATTAAATAAATCAATGAAAAAAAAAAA